CTTGAGAGGGAAAGTATATGAGAAAAGACATAGGAAGTCAATACCATGAACAATCAACTGGTTGATTCATTCACTATATGTAAATAATTCTATCAATTCTGTTGTTATAAATAAAAGTGCCATATTTTTTTTTTACTAAATCAGATTGGTGAGCTGTAGTAACATGTAAATTTAGGACGAATGTGTGTATACACATATATATTACATGTATACTTTGTAATCTGAAATGAAATGATCTGTGTGATTATGCTGAGTGAAAGCAAGATAGGAGTCTGAGCACTTGATAACACATGTACCAAGACTTTGAAACATAAGCTTTTAGAAAGAAGTTAATCATGATATTTTCAGTTTCACATAAAACTTTGGTTATATTGCATCCAAATAATGATTTGTTGTTGCTGTACAGTCATGTCCAACACTTCATGACCCCATTTGGAGTTTTCTTGGCAAAGATACTGGCTACTGGTTTGCCATTTATTTCTCCAGCTCATTTTACAGATGAGGAGAGTGAGGTTAAAAAAAAAAAGGTTAAATGATCTAACCAGGGACACACAGCTAATAAATGTCTGAGGCCAGATATGAACTCATGAATGGGAGTCTTTCTGACTCCAAGCATAGAACTCTATCCACTGAGCCACTTAGCTGTCTGCTATTCAAAACAATGAGAACCTGCCTTTATTTCTGGAATTCTCTGATTTTTCACACCCTAAGATTTACCAAAAAAAAAAAAACAAACAAAAAAAACCATACTACTCTGTGCCCACATAACACCAAAATTGGAAAACATTGATACTCCACTGGATCCATGATCTCATCAGTGTGGATAGTCACTTCCTCCTTCAGTGTGTATTTGAAGCCACCACACCTTCTTGTCCGTGTTCTTCCATATATGCCCCACAGGGAATTCATAAAGTCCTAATCAGATGCCTTATCATAGCATGAAAGAAGCCATGGGTCCTCAAAATTTACAAAACTCTGGCAGATTCTACCAAGCCAGAAAGGCTTCCATGATGGTACCAGAGACTGAGTCTTCTCTCTAACAATCATTCTATACATAGAGGCTCACCACCAGTAGTTAGGCTACTATTAGGCAATAAGTTATTTGCTTATAGCAGCCCATGCCACTAAAATTTATAGTTAACCTAAAATAAAATTTAAAAACATAGTCAATTATCCGAAATTTTTATCTACATAACTTTAAGTATCCATCACGACAGGATTTTTCCCTTTTTTTAAATGAGTGACTGTCATCTCATGTAGAAATAGGCACCAAAGTAATCATTTTTATTCATACCTAGGATTTCATTGACGTACATAATTCTTGGACAGGAAACCCACACACACACCAACACAGATATGCAACTGTTCTGGAAATCATCATCCTAGAGAGTTACCTAGAGTAGCAAGAGGTTAAGTAACTTATACAGGGTCAGCCATACAGCAGGTGTTAAAAGTGGGACTGGAATCTAGTCCTTCCAGAATGAGGCCATCTCTCTACCCACAATTACACACTACCTCTTCAAGTCAAACCTCACTAACATATTAGATTTCACACATGAGTTGTGACACATGTCACCTTTGAATGAACCAGAGAAGAAAAATGAGATCAGCACATAACTACTGAAGAAAATAAACAATGACCTTTTAAATTTCACAAATGTGCAGGCTATAGAGAGCTAACTTTAGTCATTCCTCCAGTTTTCCATAAGCCACTTACAGAAATATCCAGCCCAGCCAATGTAAATTAGTAGCAGACACAAGCCATACATCACAACAAAAAAAAACCCTCATTGAAATAATGATTTACATTTTACAAAGTGCTTTCCTCACAATACTCAAGAGATACGTAGTAGAAATATCATTATCATTTTGTAGATGAGAAACTGAGATTCAGAGAAAATTATTAACTTTCCCAAGATCACAAAACTAATCAGTGTTGAAGCTAATATTCTAACCCAGGTCTCTCTTGATTCTGGGTCCAGTACTCTTCTTACTACACAATACTGCTTCTCCTGAATGATGAAACAGATCTCTCAATCAGCTGTTAGTGAGGGGTGCTTCATACATATATGAATAGCATTATTTATAACTTGTCTTAGGTAAAGGAAAGGTGAATACACATTTATGTACATACCTAGGCACTCCATTTACAAATAGTAATTCATTTGATCCTCACAATCCTGTGAGGTAGGTGCTATTACTATCCCCATCTTACAGTAGAGGCCACTGAGGCAGGGAGAAGTTAAGTGATTTACCCAGGATCCTAAAGGTAGTAAGTTGTCTTAGCACTCATCTCTTAAATGAGATTGGTATACCTGGGTGGGCAAATGAAACCTGGGTAGCAAAAGAATACAAGAAAATTTCTTATGGTCCCAATTCTAGGTTGCAAAGATTTTCCATTGAATGTTTATTTCTCCCTTCAGCTTCTATATCCATCGTCATCTTCTTACATTTCATACCACTCTAACAATGTTTCTGAAATCATCCTTCTCTTAACTCCTATTACTCCTTTCCTCAACTCCCTTTGTTATGTCTTAATCTTTCAGAAATTAACTACATGAAACAAATATATTACTAATTTCTTTGGCAAAAAGAAGAATGAGTGACATTAAGTGATTCTGTACCTGATATTTTACTATTATAACTGGTCAATTTTTTTCTTTAAAATTGACTTAGATTATACTTGATGACATTTCCCATGAATTTGACATGATAATTCACTAGCTTTATCATGTTTTTCACACCTTCAGAAATTGGATATGGTGTGGAAGCTAGACTCAAATGGAAGCATTTTTCCTTAAATTAAATGAGATTAGTGACATAAGTTATGACTCTTATGAACAATGCTTTTAGTAGTTTAGAAGATTTTACATCATCTTGCCAGTTTCAATTAACACTTAGATATTAACTTTAGTTTGTGTGTGTTTTTTTTACTTGAAGGTGAAAATAACACACCCTCCAGAACTACAGAGGAAAAAATCTTCCTCCATCTCCTACTTGATTTTCTTTGACATCTAGATTTACACCTTATTGTCATTGCAATGAAAACAGGGAGCGGAACATCAGAATTGCTATGACAATGTCTTCTGTGACTCTTCTCTGCATATCTAGCTAAGCAACAAGGGGTGACCTAGGTACTTAGGGATATTTGTCTAATTTAATTCTTACTGAGCTCACAGTTAGCTGTTTCAAAATTTTGTAATTTTTTAATACATTTGACCTGTGAAATAATTAAAAACTCATTCCAAATGACTGGATTCTATTTTAATAGGCTTTGAATGGCAGAGCATTATCCAACAAAACCATCCTTATCTATATCTATCTCTTATCTTTCTCCCTCATAAAGAATGCCAATTTTTAAATGATCAGATCTTTATTATTGGAATCTTTCTAAAAATACAAGAGTTCACTGACTCTAACTGATAGCTTTCATGAATGCATAAGAATACTTTACAACTACTAAATATAATGTAAGAGGCAGCAGGGTGCAATGGAAAAGACACTGGATTTGGAATTAAAGGCCCTGGGCTCAAATTCCACATCTGTCTCTAAAACTGATGTGATCTTGAGCAATTCACATCCTCTTTGTGCTTCATTTTTCTCATCTGTAAAACTAAGAGGGTTGGACTAGATGATTATATACTTTGGCATGCAATTCAAGGAAGTCTGCTTTACCAAGTCAGAATTCATGAAAAACATAAGATAAAACATTTGTTCATCTTTCAGCATTTTGCAGAAAATACTATTATTTTAATTAATTATTGAAAAGATTTAAAACTACTAAAAGAAGATGTTTCACTCAAAATTTACTTTTTCCAATTCTTCCTGTAATACACCAGATACCATGGGATTTTTAAAATGCTCTTTAAATCGCATTTAAGTTCATGGTTGGATAAAGAATTCCCTCTAGAAACTATCAAAACGCATACTGGATTGCATCCTCATTCATTTTTCTGAATGCTTACATAAAAAATTCTGGGGAAATGGCCCTATCAATTTGTTAAGATTCACCTTAAATTCTCACCTTCTCCATGAAGACATCTCTGATAATTCCAGACACTATCTAGATTCTTCTCAATCTGCTAGAACACATATTTGTCTTTATCATATATTACGTTGTCTTATTAAATTCCACTTCACATCTATTGTTTCACTGTATTTTTTGGATGAGAAGTAGCATGGCTGGTGATTTGCCTTGAAGTCAGGAAGAATTGGGTTCTTCATACTATATGCGTCATACTAGATATATGACAGTAGGCAAGCCAACCTCTCACTGCTTCAGGAAACTCACTTAAAAAAATTATTACTTGCAGATGAATTGCCTTTAGGCATCAGTGAAGAGAGTTTCCATACTAAGAATTCTCTGCATGGTTAAATCATGGATCCAAATAAAAAAGAAATGTATTTACAGGTGCTAAATTTATTTCCCCTACAAGATTATAAATTCCTTGAGGACAAGAACCATGCCTTCTACATCCTTCCCATTCTCCCAGTTTCTAGGACAATACTAATTATGTAGTATGTGAGTATCTGTTGAAGTGAATGCTATTGAGTTGAGTGGCCAGTAACAATTAACTCAATTGTCCAGGTCCACAAAAAATGTCTTTATTTGCAGTCTGAGTTCATCACCTCTCTGTCCGATTAAAAAATTGAACCTCGGGCTGCTGTCCAGTAACTAACCTGGACCTGGACAATAGGGGAATTTGTTTTACTTGACTTTGCAACAGGGGTTTTGTTTTTCTTTCTTTCTCAGTTGGGGAGAGGAAGGGGGGAAGTAGAGGGAGGACTTTTACTGATTAGGAAAAAAAACCCAAAAATTTAATTAACAGGAAACAAATTCAAATGAGGAATCTTCTCTGCATTCATATTTGTCCATAACTAGTTTATTAGAATCACAAAATCTTAAAACTAGATTGGAGGTGTCTAGCCCAACCTCTTCTTTAATGTCAGACAAGAGAACCCAAAAAAGTGGGAATCATTTCTTTATAGCACTAGCTTACCATAGCATTGTCATGTGCATGGTCCCCTTTTCTGTTTCGAATCTGAATACAGGATACTGGCAAATTCAATCCAACTCCATTGACAATATTCCTCAGGTCTACTGTGCTGTATTCTCCACGAAATAGTAAGTTGTTATTGCTGGAACCAAAGCCCATAGAGGCCTGGTAGAGGTAGGTTTGAGAAAGCCTCCCCACTGCAGTGACGTCGATGGTGGCAGACGTCAGGCCAGGGTTCTGAGGTATCTTCTTTCGACGCTGGTACGACTCTGGGGAGCAACAGCGCGAAGGGCAGCAGCTATGAGAGCCGCGAGCTCGGTCCTGGTTCCACTTGATACAAATGAAGAAGACTAAACACCCCAGAAACAGAAAGGAAATGCACGCAAGAGCTATTACTAAATACAAATTAGGGGCCGAAAGCTGTCCGCGTGTTTCCCACCCGTCCCTGAAGTCAGGAATGACCTGTGGGGGAGAGTCTACCAACAGTACGCCCAAAGTGACCGAGGAAGAGAGGGGAGGATCCCCGTGGTCCTGAACCACGATTACCACTTTCTGCTTTACTGCATCTGCTGGCAGAATGGGGCGCAGGGTCCGGAGCTCTCCTGTGTTAGGGGAGACAGCAAAAAGGCTCAGGTCCGAAGCCTGCAGGACATGGTAGGAAAGCCAAGCGTTTGGCCCACTGTCCGCATCTTCGGCTACTACCTTGGTGACCAAGTGCCCCGTTTTGGCCTGAAGGGGTACAATTTCTACTGGGACTGAGCCGTTTCTGACCACGGGATATAGGATGACTGGGGGATTGTCATTCCTGTCCATGATGAACACGCTGACCGCCACCTCTGTGCTCCTGGAAGGAATACCGCCATCCAAGGCTTCCACCACGAAGTGAAATGCCTTGAGCTGTTCGAAGTCAAAGGAAGTTTTGGCAGTGATGGCTCCACTTGTCGACTCCACTTCTACCAGACTGGAGGCCAGAGGTCTGTCTGAGTGAAGGTCCCGCAGCAAGTAGGTCACCAGGCCATTCTGGCTCAGGTCCGGGTCCTGGGCGAACACGCGGCCCAGCGAGGCCCCAGCGCCGTTGTTTTCCGCCACAAAAAACTCCTGCTGGGGCAAAGGAAAGCTTGGCGCGTGGTCATTCACATCCTCCACGAGCACCGTCACAGTCCTGCGCGTGGTTAGCGAAGGAGAGCCGCCGTCGGAAGCGATGATCATGACCTGGTACTCGCTGGTCTGTTCTCGGTCTAACGGTCCATCAGTTAACAGGCTGTAGTAGTTGTCGAAAGAAGGGTGTAGCTGGAAGGGGCCGCTGCTTTGTATGGTGCAGGTCACCCTCGCATTTGGACCTCGATCTTCATCTCGTACACTCAGTAGAGCGATCACAGTGCCTGGAGGCGCGTCTTCGGACACTGGACTGGAGAGTGACGTGATGCTCACCTCTGGGGCGTGGTCGTTCACGTCGGTCACTTCCACTAGCAGCTTGGCAGTGCTGGCCAAGCTAAACTCTCCCTCGTCTCTCGCCTCGATGAATATCTCCAGCAGCGTGTCTGGGGGCCCAAGAGGCGCCACCAAAGTCACCTCCCCGCTGCGGGAATGCACTCGAAACTGGTGCCGCAGCTCTGATGGAGTGCTGTTGCTGAAGGTGTACCGGACCTCCCCATTGGGACCCTCATCAGGGTCCGAGGCTTGCACTTGGATCAGCACAGTCCCGTTGGGCGCTGTCTCGGGGACACTGGCCCGGTACACTGAGCGCTGAAATTTGGGTGCGTTGTCGTTGGTGTCCACAACGGTGACTGTGACCTGGACTGACCCGGAACGACCCGGCCGACCCCCATCCCGAGCGGTCAGCACCAGTCTATGGGTGGCACGCAGCTCACGATCCAACGATTTATCCAGCACCAGCTCTGGATACTCACTGCCATCAGTCCTGCTCCCCAACTCCAGGCGGAAGTGCTCGCTAGGACTCAGCGAGTAGCTCAGGAGCCCGTTGGTTCCTTCATCTGCGTCCTGGGCGTTGGGAAGTGTGAAGCGGGCTCCCGGCGCTAGGAACTCCGCGAGGTGAAGCCGCACCTCGCCTTCGGGGAAGCGAGGAGGGTTGTCATTGAGGTCCAGAATTCGGACGCTCATCCTGTGAAGCTCCAATGGGTCTTTGAGCACTAGCTCATAGTTGAGAATGCAAGCAGCCTTGGCTCCGCAGAGCCGCTCGCGGTCCGCCGGCTCCCGGACAAACAGGCTGCCGCTGCCCGGCTCCATCCCGAAGTACGGCTCGCCGCCGTTGCTGGAAAGGAGGAGAAATTTCCGGAAAATAAGCGTGCCTACTGCCAGCCCTAAGTCGGCGGCGACGTTCGCCACGGTCGTGCCGCGCTCCGTCTCCTCGAACACGGAGTACTCCAGCTGTCCTGCGCTGCACGAGCTGGTCCACAAGCAGAGAACCACCATCCAGCCTAGCATCCTGCTTCTCTGTCTCATTCCTTAGAGCGCAGCGACCCGGGACCATTCTCCGGGTTGAGCTCACCCGGCACTGGAGAAACAGCCTCAGCCGACCCTACGGCCGCCGAAAATGTACGAAATGGGCTAATGTTTGTCTTCCTTCTCCGGGCTGGAATCTGCACTGGGTGAGCCGGTTCAGAGCAAGCCCTAAATGCGGCTCATCTGCCGTCTGGGAAAAGAGAGGCCGGCAAGGCAGGAGGGAAGCAGCGCCGCCTAGGGATCTCAGGGGAGACGCACAGATAGTGGTAAAAAGCTGGCCAGCTAGCATTCCATCTACTCTACCACCTAGCTACCCCTAGGTGCCTCATTCCTATGTAGAAATAAAAAGATGAAATTAAAAAAAAGAAATTTACATGATAACATTTTGCATATTTGGAAAGAATGGTAAGTTGTACATGGTAGATTTGCAGTTTCATGGTTGCATGTGCAATCATCTTTTTTATTGCACTGTTATGGAAGTGTTTATTGTGTTCCATGAAATGAAAATAAAATAAATTAAAAAAAAAAAAAGCTGGCCAGAACCTTAGCTGAAGATTCAGGTCCACCACACTCAAGAAAGGAATATGTCTCTAGGAAAAGTAAACACACTTCGTTATGTCCTCTGCCTGTCCTGGCAAGTGGACAGCCACAGACTTTGCCTGTTGTCTACTTCTTTCTCACAGAAGAAGCTTTGCGTACTGGTCTTGCAGTCAGAAGACAGTGGATTCTGCTTCTGGCTCTGACACTTACTACCTATTCAACCCAGGTGCTTTATGTCACTGAGTCTCAGCTTCCCTCTCAGTAAAATGGGGATAGCAATACTTGCCTCCTTACCTCACAATGTGGTTGTGAGGAGAGTGCTTGAGCGCAAATAAATGTGAAGTATCATTACAAGTAGCCAAAACAAGTCTTGGTTTTCATCTGTATTTTCATAGGGCTTAGGAGGGGAAAGCATCTCGGTCAGTGTTTGGGAAACATTGGACTGCTTAGCATCCATTAAGAACAAAGCAGCTGAATCTGGGAAGACTCCTAAGCTGGGGGGTTACATCCTCCTTACTTTGAGGAGCCTGGAACCCTGAGATAATTTTAAAATTCTGCTAAGAATTTCCCAGAAGATGGACATGAAATCCAAGGAAGTGGGTGGAATATGAAAGAAATTCCCTGCTCCTAAGCTATTTCCAGGAAATTCCCAAGATCTCAATGGCTATTGGGTCCTGGGAATGCTTTTTTTCCTTACTGGGAGTGCCTGTTTACACAGCAAAAACAAAAGATGCAGCAGAGAGTCCCTGCCTATGGCTCTCTTTCAAACACATGTCCCTTTCAGAGATAGGCCTTATCTGAGACCTATTAGAAAGGTGACTGACTCAAATATTACACCTGAGGTTCCATTCTCTGCTAAATATCAGCCTCTTCTTTACAAAGGTCATGGGGGGGGGGGGATTTCCCTGTAAAGTTTTATGCACTTTTCATATGGAAAATGAGCTCTTAAGGGATATCAGAACAAGGTCACCAGAATTCAACAGCAGATTCTGTGGAATGGTTCAAGAAGCCAGGAATTAAATAAAACTACCCTGGATAGGGCACTGTGAAGTCAGGAAGAAGAAATTAACCAAAAGCCTTTGAAATTCCCAGTTTTCCCTAATTTAGATGGTAGTTAGATGACACAGTGCTGACAGAGTGCTGGACCTGAAGTCAGGAACACTAGTTCAAATCTGGCTTCAGACACAATAACTGTGTGACCCCAGGCAAATCATTTAATCTCTTTCTACCTCACTTTCTTTATCTATAAAATGGGGATAATAATAGCACCTACCTTCCAGGGTTTTTGTGAGTATCAGATGAGATGATATTTTATAGCACTTTGCAAATCTTAAAGCTCTGTATAAATGCTAGTTATTATTGTTATTGTTCATCTTGACTCTTGGCTCTCTGCTAAAGGAAGTCAAAGTCAGTGAGAGGCTGGAAACTGACCTATTCCATGAGAAAACCACAAAACTAAAAAATACCTCTGACCTCCTCCTCAAAATCCAGACACTGTGCACCCAAAGGGTCTCTGCCAAAAAGATCTCCACTGAGAAACAGACAAAGCATCAGAGAAGCTCCTCTTTCTCTACACCTACCGTATGTAATGGTCCACTGTCCCAAGAATCCAAAATGATGACACCCTTCTTAAAACAAAAATTTCTTAAGTTCTGGGACCACTAAGTGTGACAGTAGGTCATGGTCTATGTTCTCAATACATATTCCTTGTTAGGATGAAATGCTTCCACTGAAATGCTAGCAGAAACTGCAGCTGAGGTTAAAGCTGGCACCCTGTTTCCTAAAACCAGGCTGAAGTCTCCTGAAGCCAGTCCGGCAAAAAGTATCCCTTTCCCAAGTTTATCCTTGAGAATTAGGGAAATAGGAAGATACTTGAAGACCTACACAGAATAAAGGAAATGATGAGGATGGGAGCTAGACCTTGAAAAGGAAAAACCCTCAACTTTCCCACATGGTCAAATTTCTGGTGTTTGCCTGAGGCTATAATCCCATCCACTGGCCTTTTATTGTGGCTATGTCCAATGTCCCAATTCTGTTACCCTTAACCTAGTCTAGCCTTCCATTGTCTCACCTCCCTATGGTCCCCGGCCTTTTCCCACCCTTAATTCTAGCTAGGCTCCATTCTCCCTTGGACACGAGGTCCAGGTCCCAGGAATTCTATTCACCCCAGTTTACTGGCCACTCCCATTCAGATCTTCCTTAGACTCCTCCTCTAGTCACCCCAAACTACTTGGCCACTCCTAGATCCCTCCCACGGTCTTCCTGTCTATAAGGCCCATTTTGTCTCCACTAAGGTGCTCAGATTCTTAGAATCTAGCCACTGCTCAGATTTTTACAATCTAGCCAAAAGCTCACACATGCTCAGATTCCTTAAGAGTTTGGCCAATATGGCAGATCTTTAATAAACCTTGTCTTTGGCTGAAAGAAGGCTTGGGTCGAATTCTTTTGGGCAGGACCCATGTGTTGTGATCTTGGGGTCCCAGCACCCCTAAACCTCTAGACTCCATCAGAAATACTCTTTTAGCCCACTGCAGTCTCATTCACATTGTCCAGAATAAAGGGGCAGGAGCATCCTACTTCAACAAAGATTCCTACTATGTGCAGCACATTGTGGTAAATGCTAGGTGCAAAGATTAAAAAAAAGTCTCTTCCCTTGAGGAATTTATAATAAAATAGAATGAAATAATACATGTATACCAATAAATATTTTGCAAGGCAAAAATTTTATAGACAAAGGAGGGACCCAGACAAAGTGCTAGAAGAAATTTGAAAAGAGACAGAAAAGACTTTCACCTAGAGAAGGCAGAAGTGAGGAGGGAGGTTTCATAGAAATAGCACCAGATCTAGATCTTACCTTGAAGAAAGAGAAAGATTTCAAAAGTCAGAAATGTGGGAAGAAGATGTTTCTAGATCAAGGAAGTCCCTGACCAAATTGGCAAGTTTTCATTGGCCTGATAACAGTTATTGAAGTAACTGAATAACACAGAGTTTCCTAACCAACCTGATAACATCAGAAGGTGTTGGTAATTGAGCAAAACCAACTTCTGGAACACAGAGAGCTTCAAATGATTTAATGACTAAGAGTCAGCCATGCCTCTCATGGTCTTTAAAAAGTAGCTGAGAGGGACAGGATACTCCTCAAGAGCTCATTCTTCCTCCAGAACTGGCTCCTTAGAATTTCTCCTCTAAGGCCAACATAGTCCCCGAGCTATTTCCTTTTATGTGGGCATCAGAGGCAAGAAATGAGAAAGACGCTAGTAATTTAGTTTGATGGGAATGGAGCATGTATAAAAGGAAAGGGTATGAAATATGACTGGAAAGGTAGGTTGTAGCCAGACTTTGGAGGGCCTTAATGTCAGGCTGGGGGGTTTGCTTTTTATCCTCCAGAAAATGTGGAGACAATCAAAATGGCAAAACAGAGGAATGACATGAAAAGATGATATAAAGGAGAGAAAAAAAGCTTTACTGGGAGTCATGAGAAAAGAATTCAAGTACCAGCTCCAGCCCTAATTATCTATGTGACCATGGGCAAATCACTTAACCTCTCTGAACCTCAATTTCCTCATCTGTAAAATGAAGGGGTTGGACTCAATGGTCTCCAAGTTCTTTTTCAATTCTATTCCAATGATCTCCTTGTCTATGTATTAGGATGATTGCTTTGGCAGCCATATGAAGTGTGTCTGAGAAACAGGGGCACCTTTACCAATTCTAATGACTTTTTTAAATGCTCTGCAGTGCTTCTGGAGAACAGTAAATGCATTTCCTAAATTAGCTTTCACTGCTGATCATGCTGACTGTATTGGAGAGAAAGGTTTCTCTTTCTGAATGCAGAAGTAATTAACCTGTAAGAATGTGCCTATCTCAATCAAAATAATCAACATAACAATCCTAAGTACTCTGCCAAGGAAACCTCTCTACCAAGATGTCCCTATCATATATTAATATTATGTGCGATTTGTACAATAAATTAGTAAAATTGTACTAAGTCCTGAGAAGGGACCAGATGGAACCAGGATATGTACTGGGATTGGTGGTTGTATTGGTGGAAGAGGAAATGGAAGGAGAGGCAGCCAGTGGAGGAAAAGGAGATGTTAAAAAGGACAAATGTTAAAAAGGACTTGCAGAGAAACAATCTGCAGGTAAAGTCCCAGAAACAAATTCCTCCTCCCTCTTTTGTTTTATGAAACTTCAGTTTTCCCCACCCCACATCCACATCTCTAGTTATTTCAGTCATGTCTGACTCTTTGTAACCCCATTTGGGGTTTTCTTGGCAAAGATACTGGAGTGGTTTGCCAGTTCCTTTTACAGTTGAGGAAACTGAGGCAAATAGGATTAAGTGACTTGCCCAGGGTCACACAGCTAGTAAGTGTCTGAGGCTGGATTTGAACTCAGGAAAATGAGTCTTCCTGACTCCAGGCCCAGCACTCTTTCCACTGTACCAC